AATACATAATGACATTTACTTAGATATGAACTTAGACTACACACTTAGTAGAATTTTCCAAGAAATGTCACTTTCTGAATTAGAAACACTCCATCAACTATGCGAATTAGAAAGAACACAAATTCTACAATCACTCGCATTAGCAGTACTCAAAATACCATACGCAGGTTATTTGTTATCCGGGAATAGATCAAAATTCCTTGACTTTGAAGGAAACAGTTTATGGTTTTATACTTGCACCAAAAAAGTATCACCACAATATGTTTTTGAAGACAAACGTTGTTACAAAAGAATCACCATATTCTGCAAAAATAAAGTACATTTTGATGATATATTTTCAAGACGAACATATGTTTGGGATACCGCAGTCCCATGTGGACCAAAAAACATCCACAACGTCGTACAATTAAACCCTGACGAAGATAAATACTATCTACTTACACCATACCCTACACTCATGCAGCTACTAAAAAACTTCCACCAGAAAGCATTCGAGCTATTGATCGCAACCCAAATATCGATTTACAATCAGTCGGTATATATTCTAAATCCGATATACAACATCATATTCGAACACAACAGTTTCAAGAACTACTAACACAAATGGACACTATACAACGACAATCAATAGACCAAAATTTACGAAAACTTGCAGAAACAGCAGGATTTTCAGATATTTACGCACAAGATTACAGCGGATATTTTAAATACATCAAAGTATACATATATTTAAACGGTGAAAAATATCGACCACAAGATATATCACCAATCAATATTTTTAGTTTTGTAAATTTGAAAAACGAAGTCTTAGCCTTTCTAGGATGGCCACATTACATCTTAGAAAGATTGACTATCTTATACGCAATGTTTAATTTTTTTGGATTTCTTTTCTAATCACTAAAAGGAATCTATAACACATGGGCAGTACATACACAAGTAAACAGACAAGCAAGCGTAGCACGCATTTTATTTGCAGTATTTTTTGGAATATTTTCATCATCAATAAATAAAATCCTCCTAGATGCACAAATTAAAGAATACAATACAAAACTATCAACAAATCCCAACACATACGATGACTCAAATAATAATACAAACGTATTACCTACGGCACCCCATTTGCCAAATAATCATCCATTATCTTTAGTCTCACGAAATTTTCTAATCTTAGCAATCACAAACCCCCTAAACTTAAGACCCAGCCACATACAAAGCCCCATCAAACACATAGTGACACAACAACCTTCAATTGACGATACATTTGAACAAATAATTGAACAGCCCCATACCACCACTTTTCAGTCTCAAAATAATCATTTTTTTAAGCCCACGATGTGCAGACAAGTTGGATCACTCCACCGATCAAACTCCCACCCTGCCAGCCTCTAAAATCTATCCTTGTTATCCCACTTTTTGCTTTCCCCCCACCTGATTCACCACATGCTAACATATCATCCGGCATGAATTCTGACACTAACTCAGATATAACAATTTATACAATAATTTCACAATTCAATAATTCTGATATTGAAACCCCCGACAAATTCGCCGATTCAGAACCATCCCCTTCTACACATACCCCGACCAGCTCAACAACCTTCTCAAAACCCCTTTTCCGACCCATACAATCCCATAGCCAACATATATCTCCTTACACTCCCTCTCAAGTAACCCCAACATACTCCCCATTCAATAATGAACGCTCCACCAACAACTCCCCTGATAATATCCAACTTTCCGAAGAACTAGATATTTTCATAACACTCCAACAACAATTGCTATCTCCCCACACCCTCACTATTCACCAATTATCAACAACAATAACATCATCAAATCCACCAACATCCACACCAATTTCAGATTATACTCCAGCATTAGCTCATTCATCCACTTCCACAGAATCATCCAACAGTACTAACCGTGCTTATAGAACTTTTAAACGTAAATTCCCAAATCATCCATTCCCATCCAAACCCCAAACCGCCCGAGAATATATAAGTCATCCAGACCACACCAAAACTACAATTTTTCTTCAAATAACCCTACCTTTATTTCCCCAATATACACTAAATCAATCTGACTCTAACCCTGAACCACGTCAATTTGTAGTTGAACATGTATTTATACCCACACATCATTGGACAGCTTGTTATAATTTCACTAATCCCCTTACGCCACCACTCTATAACACCACTATCGATATTGAAATGAATAAAGACGAATTATTCAGATTAACCACAGCACTCACTCCACGACAATTTACATACGTAGGATATAAAAAATTACTAAAAACATTCGCTGCATCCCGCGCTAACGACTACTCAATTGAATATTACGATCATTTCAGATCTAATCAAGACCAATTTCTTGATGCCGATAAATTTGCAAATCCACAAATCATAGAAAATTTTTTTATTAAATCATCAAACATATTCACAATTAACATACTAGATAAAAAGCATGATCACATTATTTCAGAAGCACTATCAGACATCCAAGCATATGAATCATTTCACGAAAAATTTCAAACTTTTTTACTAACTTTTCACTTCCTGACACCAACAGAACGCAATTTTCACTGCTCACACGACATCATGTTGAGAACTAAGCAAACACATACTTATATTTACTATCGCTTTATCAAAAATCATTTCCATTTACACACACCATCACGACAACCTTCAGTTCATTAATTCCAAATACAGCTCAAAATTTTTTCTAAACTTCACGTATTGCATTACAAATACTAACTTCCAAGGCATCCTCCGGAATTATGATCCAATCACTCAAATGTATATTTTTGTCCCCTCACGAAAACCTTCAATGAAATCCCGACCTCTGATCATTCCGCATGAATATATTCAACTGATAGAAGTACCCATTTTAGAATTCATCCATATTACTAAATAAAATCATAAAATTTATAATCTAATCCAGAACACACCTCAGGAATTTGCAGTAGGCACCGAAGAACTAAAAAGAATCAAAGCACTGCAATTGCTTTGGCCACTGTTGCAAACTAAAAGCATAATACTCATACTAGCTAAACTACTAACTACATCAGACGCTTTTCACGACACTTTCCCACACGGCTTTTTCCCAGATGACTAAAGGTATTTATGAATTTATTAATTTTCAAACTAACTAATTCAAAATCGAACTAACCATTTTATTCAGTACTTTATTTTCTCTTTAGCCTTCACATCACGATCACCTTTAAAACAAGAAAAGACAAATAAAAATAAAAACTCTTTTTTCCATTTTAAACTCTATTAAACCAAAAGCACTAAATGATGCAGTAAACGTTAATTCAAAGTAGAAAATTCATTTCTAAACTATTCACCCAAATGTAGTAAATTTAAATTACGATGAAAATCAATTTATACCTTTCAACCCCAAAAGCAGTAAAATTTGGAATGGAATTATATAATAACCAAACTAACCAACGCAGCTTACTAAACACCATAAACCATAAACTAACAGCATGACTAAGAAAAGAAAACCCACGGTTCCCAAACCGGATTAAACCAGCTTAAAACTGGATAAGTTATTCTTTGAAGACTATTACCAAGTCTAAAAAAAGAAACAATAAAACACCAAAAAGTCGCAAGACAAATCCAAACCACAAACAATTTAATTTTTGAGAAAAGGACACAACCAACGAAACAAGAGGAAAACAAAAAATATTATAACACAAAAGTTAACACAAAACAAGACTAAAGAAAAAAAAACGGCACGAAATCAAACTCCCCTTCCTGGCCTAACCCACCAGAGAGGACGTCCTGAGCATGCTCTATAGCCGGCCTAATCCGCCGTGCTACATCCACACTTTGTGACCACATCACTTTTTTTGACAAGAGGTACTCAAGTGTGAGTAACTCTTAAAAATAACTAAACTTAAACTAAAACGCTTTTGCGAAAACAATTAATCAAAATCATAACTAAAAAATAGAACTAACAAAATTTTATAAACTGTAAACTATAATAGGCAGTACATAGATCACGAACAACCATAAGAACGAGCATCCAAAGACTAGACGAACCCATCACACTCAACCTACAGGATGGCCAAATACAACTGACATGCCGCTCACAATCACAACTCATAAAGGATTTAGAGTACGACTTGACTTCGCAGAAAAGGACTTCAGTGAATCAGACCAATGACCATCTCGATGTTCAAGTATACGTACAGATCCGAGCTACAAGGCATCCCCTCCAAACGCGATCTTCACGCCATTGCCAAACCAGATCGAAACAGAATTCTCCACAACCAATCAAGAACAGACGATCATAGCAAACCAACTTGAAATCAGATTGATTTCATGGACAGTCATGGTCTTTGTCAACCGATAACTAACAACTTTCTATCGATAACTCCAGCTTCTTGGAGCTTTCTTCTTCAAAAACAAAACAGAAAATGATGCTCGCCAAACAACAACGACCAACATCCATCCTTCATTACAGATAGAAGATCTAAGATTCAAAACTCTTTAAACCCCGGATGGGTGGAACCAGATACAAACTATATTTATTATTTGGTTATAAATTGAATATTTGATCTCTATAAAATATTTAATATTAACCAATCACGATCCATCTAACTAACAGCCCACTTATTTGTAAGTGCTGAAATTACTTGTAATTTCAGCACCAGAGAGATTTGAATTTGACTTGAATTAGTTACCTCTCCAAGAATACTTTAGCAATTGCAATAAGCCAGTATACTCTAGATCTATTGAGCCTAGCAGAGACTAGTTAAACACCCTGAGACTAGTAGATATAAGAGTAAGATTAGGATCGGTATTAGACTAAGAAGTTGCACGAATCTATCCGGCCGAAAATAAGATAGCGTTACGAGCGGACGGTGTACCCTATCCGAAATTACTCTATGAGTTACATCTCGAACTTAACTCATTTTTTTAGCCACTAGAAGCAACTAAAATGTACCTTTTATGATCAAGAAGTTTGAGGATGGAAGATTCCCGTTGTTATCTCACCTTGTCGTAGTCTGTTTTGTATCGACTCTGGATCTCCTTGTCAGAAACCTCATGATCATCCATTTCGATCTCCTCCTTCAACTTATCCAAGGAGTCCTTCTTCCAATCACCACTCTTCTTACCCTTCTTCCCACCACTTTTTCTACTGGTCTTACCAGTCTGTTTAGTGCTTTTTCGGGTAGATGCACCTGCCGCCGTGTCTCTTCTAGCGTCATTATTAGTAGTGGGCTGCTCACTGTACTTCGGGTTGTTTCTAGTCGCCGACATGTTCTTTCAGCCTAATTGCTTTCAAAAGGGCCCAGTCGATAATTTTCAATAAGCCTGGTCAATAAGGAAGGTAAAGTTTTTGTCTGATTCTACTGTCTTTTTTGAGTCTTTAAAACTAATTGATGTTCGAGGCGAATGGCCATTTGTTCGCACCATTGAAGTATATCGTAGTATATCAAAGACCATATTTGTAAAAATTAAGCATAGGGGGCTATAGTTTTCTGGGTAATGTATAAGCTAAAAAACATTTCAATGAGCAATTGTGCATGTTTATTTGTTCC